TGCATTACCGCCAACTACTGGAAGCTGACTGTGAATAGAAGATAAGGTCTGCTCATGCGCTCTTTATCAGAGAACCGCGCCACAACTGAGCCACACCGAGCCCTTCTGTTGAACTAGTACCAGTTTAGCACGGTTCGTTTGTGTCTGGTACGGTCTGGTTCAGTTATGTCGGTTACTGTGCGCGGATCAATCTCGGCATGGTTTCAGAAGTGTAGTGTAAATGGGGCTATAGAAACTCAGCTTCGGAGTTGCAGTGTAACAGACTGTAAATAATCGGTTGGTATTGGTACCTTTGCCAGGCTCTGGATGGAAGAAATCTGAAGTCACTAAAGTCTTGAGTTGACTGACCTAACTTAAAACTAACCAACCTACTAAACCAAATATTTTTAAAAGGAGATATTCTGTAGAATATGGTCAATTTGAGACTTCTTCTGTGGGGTCCATTTGTTTTAATTTCTTTCTCCAAAAAACGATGCTTTAAAAGCTGAACTGGAAGATAATTTTTCTTGGCTCAAGTTATAAAAGGACTTTTTTTACTTGTATATTTCAATGTAAGCGTCTGTTAACTGGGAAAAAAAAAATCAGAAGTGAAAAAGCCAATGTTTAAAGAATATTAAGAAAAAAATAAGTGCATATTTGATATCTAATTTTATGAAATTACTAGGTGAGACTTATTTATCATACAATAAGTGTCCATCTGTTGTAACTCTGAGCAAAAACTGCACAAAACCAGATGACAGGACATCTGGTTGGATATAAAATGTATGTTTTCATCTTAATACAAGAAGAAAAATGTTAATGAAGTTATTACAAATAATTTTATCTGTAGCTTGGATGCTTAAAAGGGGGTCTGTACTAGACACTTAATTTTTAAAAGCTTCCCATTGTTTTTGCCCTTTGTGACAGAAGATACAGGAGCAACAAGAATTAACAAAGCTGATTGGTCAAAAACCAAATGCAGGAGTATCCTGCAATTAAGACCCAAAATAGGTTTAATTAACTCAAATTCTGGCTGTTTTCTACTTTAAATCTAAGTAACACTTTGTGGTTTAAGTCCTAGTTATAAGTTAAGTTATCTCTCAAATAAATTGTCCCTCTAAGGCCTCTTTGGGATCGTCATGTCACCATTTAAATCCTGGTTTCAAACCAGCTTGTAAAAAAACAAGCAGTGGAAGTATCCAGAATATTGACTCCATATCTGTGAGTGCAGGTGGGTTATAATTACTGAGATGTTTCTGCAGGATGGAGAAGCTGCCTTATTAGTGCCAACCTTTGTTCATTTGGGATCGTGTTGCAGCCGTTTGTCGGATAAATAAAAACAATCAATCTTTGGACTCTCCAGTGAGATAATCACTTTAGACATGCAGGTTTTGCCCTCTGAATATCACCGTCCTCCTCCAGCTGTAATTACCTCCGCTGCTGACAGTACGGAGAGGTTTGTTTGTGTTCTTTCAAAGATTAACTTCCTCTGGTTTCCGCCTTTTCCCAGTTCCACAGTTTGTTAGTCTGAGCTGAATTATTATCTAGAAATATGAAACAGGAAATGTCTGAGATTTTTTGGCTCTGCCATACACACCCACACTGGAATAAAAAAAGATATTTTTAAATCTGGTTCTTCTTAAAACCTGAGGGATCAATCTATTGTGTTGCTCCTCTGCTTATCCTTCTCTACATCGTTCATTTTCCTGAGCTGCATTTAATGAGATGATTCCTTGATGTTGGCTTCGATAACAGCACTATTGTCCACTGGTATTTTTGCTGTCAGCTCTTCTTGCTCTGCTAGCATTTTAATCAAATTTGTGGCACTAATCGGTTATTAAAAGCTCTTTATAACCTTGGTGTCGATAATTCATGTCTTTTTTTCCTGTCCTCTTCCTCTCCATAAACACCCTTCCTCCCTCTTGGTTCCTTCCTGCCCTCTCTCTGTCTATTGGGTGTGTCTAGCAGTGGCCTCCGGGCCTGGTCTGGGCCCTGCTCCAATGTCCCAGTTTGGAACCATCTCGCGGCAGATTTCGCGGCACAACCCCTCCAACTCCTCTGTCTCTATGGTTTCGGCCACGGGCACCTACCGCCGGGCGCCATCGGTCACATCACAGTTCTCCTTGCAGCAGCAGCAGCTTCAGCTACAGCAGCAGCAGCAACTGCAGCAGCAACAGCCTCACATTAACGGAGGCACTCCTGGCTATGTCCAAAACTCAAGTAAGGCCCCTGTGTCTCCATCTTTAACCCTAAAGCCTGAGCTGACAAAGATGCTTGAATGCAAACTATTGTTTTTTTTGTTTTGTTTTTTTTCCCAATCACACACAGTCACAAATTAATGAAAAAGTAATTTCTATATACACCTTTTATTTAAGAACAAAAATAATACTCTTTAATCAAAGACTTTTGACTTAAAAGGCTAGTTTGGTTTTTAAATTCAACCTTTTTAGAAATTCCTGATACTTCATCTCTTATGTTTTCATAAATAATGTTGTTGTTTTTAACTGCTTTTAGATTTTAAATAGTTTTAAAATTAGTCTGATTCCAAGTGCCGTAGTTGCAAAAAATGTTGAATCTTTCCATAATGGGAGATAACAGTAAAAATATAATGAGCTGTAACATTTTTATGGACAAGGACGAACAAAAACAAATGCAGATAGATATCTGAAATAAAGGCCAAACTACACAGCTAATTGCAAAAAGAAGTTAGAAAACCTGCAGTTTACAAATTTATGGAATGTTTAATGACATTAAGTGGCCAAATGAAGAGGATATGATAAATTTTTTACCTTTCAGTCAATTTCAACTTTAGCATTACGAGTTAGCAGTTTGAATGTCCCCTTAATTAGTGGCTTTAAAAATGAATGGGATAGTTTATTACTTATTTAATATTAAGGGAAAACGTAAAATGTTTTGTAGGAAAAAAAGAATCTCCACATTTGTTGCTTTAACATGCAGAGCTAGCATTAGCTATGTAGCATGGCTTGCTGCTATTAAAAGTTAGAGAAGGATACATTTATAGATCCTCTGAGCTGCTGCTTCAGAGGTTCTAAGAAGGTTTAAAAGCCTTTCTTGTTGATGAGAAAATGAAAGACAAGACTAGATCTGTGTTTTTTTTTCTTTTATACAAGCTAATGTTAGCAATGCAGCATGAGGAGAAAAGTTAAAATATAAAATTCTATAAGTCAGTGCTTTAAACCTCATGGTTTAGTTTTACCAGAATATTGATGAGAGAAAAAAGTTCAGAGTTTCTTTTTTTTTTCCATTTATTACAAGATGGTGCTACTGCTTCAGCATCAAAGAGTTCCTTTTTTAATTTTATTGTGTTGCATAAGCTGCAATTTAATTTATATTGCAGCTTTATTGTGAACCTAAAGGATTCTGGTTGTTAAAATTTGCAACAAAGTTGCCTTTAACAGCCTTTAACTTTTTATGAATCCTTAAAGTCTAATGTGAATCTCTCATTTTAGTCTGATTTCCTCCACTATCTCTGATATTAAAGTTTTTTTTTTTTTGGCTAAAAAGGGCATCCCACATCCATATGGTCCAGATTAAACTGTAATCAACATTTATATCTGGCAGTAAACCAGCCAGACTGAGTTGTTCAGCTGTTCTTTCTTAGACATGGACAAAAAGCGCCTCCTTGTGGTCATTAGTAAAAGTTGTGTAGTGCTTTGAAGGCGTGGGAACAATCAGACTGACAAAACTCCAACATAATCTGCAGTTTATCCACCAGCCTTGGTGATCCTCAGATGAATTGGGAAATCAACAAAATGTTGCCAAATATGATGCACAGATTTAAAGGAGATATTTGTATAAACAACGTTAAATCAGAAGTGAAATAGTGACTTCTTTGCAGTGTGTCTGCTTTTTCCTGCAGAGCATCGATGTCGGTGGGTTTTCTCAGTAGCGGGTCACTCTCTGAACTCTTGTCTGTATATTCTGGATGACTGATGGGGTCCTGACTCTCTTATTTTCCCCTCTCTTTGACTTCCTGTCCGCTGTCTGCTGGCTTTCAGTGTCTGTCGCACCTCCTCCTCCCCCCATGCCCCAGCTGACTCCACAGATACCTCTCACTGGCTTTGTGGCCAGGATGCAAGAGAGCAGTAAGTGAAGAGGCTTCACTCAAGTTACGTTATTCTAATTCTGCATGCACTCTGCATTTTATTCCGTTTGCAGAATTACTTTATGGAGTTTCTCTCTTCATTTATCCTCTTCTTATAAACTCTTAGTTGTTAGATGCTTGCAATGCTTTGGAATGCTTTAGTTTTGAATAATTGATGTGTTAGCTATGGGTAAAATGTTGCCCTTTTCTTGTGCTAATTTATTTTTTTAAGCATAAACTAAGAAATCTTTAAAGCTACATGAGTGAAGCATTTAACATTTTAAAACACGTTTTTATGATATTTTTGATGATCAATTTACACGGAAGTGGCAAATAAAGTTAGGATGGTTAATTTTGGGCAGTATTGGCTGCATCATCCTGTGGGGATGCTTTTCTTCAGCAGGGACATGGCTGTTACTAAGAGTTGATACAAAGATGGATGATAGTAAATACAGTCAATGTTGAAGGAAAAACTGTTAGAGGCTGCAAAAAATCGAAAGCCGACGCAAATGTCTACTTTAAATAGATTATAACAGCAAATAAAGCCAAAGCAACAAGGAAAAAGGATTAGTCAAAGTTCATACATCTAGTTCTTGATCATTAAAACCAGGGCTTAAACAAATAATTGATTATTGAAATAATCGTCAACTAATTTAATAATCGATTAATTAATCGAGTTAATAATTAACTGGAGTGTAGAGATTCTAAAACATGCTTTTAGCTGACAGAGAAACCCACTAAGAGCAGTATTTTAACCAATATTGTAAAAAAAATAGATATAAACATTTTGCATTTAAGATTTAAAAAAAAACGTAAAAACGTTTTACTTTCACCTGGTTTCATTTTGTAAAAAAATATTTTTAAGAACATTTTGCTTAAAAAAATAATAGGCAGTTTAATCGATTTGCTAAAAAAAAATAATTAGTTGCAGCTCTAATCAAAACACAAATAAGCATTGTATTGCATTTTACTTCTTCAAAATTACAGAATAGTTTTTGTTGTTCTATGGTGTGAAATCCCAATAAATATTTAAAGTTTATGTGCCATCATGTTAAAAACTGCACTATGGCTTCTTTAATGGCTGATTTGAACCTGTTTATATGCATCTAGACTTTTCTGTGGTTAGATATTATCATGTGTCTTTTCTTGTCGCCATTTTTAGTGCTTCTTAAGATGAAGAAGGTGATTTATGATTTAGACCAAAACATTCATCCTTATCTAGATTATCTTAAAGGTTTTCCTAACGTTCAAGGTTCAAAGTTAAAACGGTTTCCTTGAAAAACAAAATATTCTAACTTGAGCCACATCTGACATCACACTGATCAAGAACAGATAAAGTGGCGTTGCTAAAGTCGAGAACATTTATTCTAGAGGAAATCTGTTGAAAGATATTTTTAAAAAACATGTGCAAGAAGCCTATAAAGGTCTGGGAAATGATCCAGAAGAAGAATAGTTGTTTTGGTGGGAAATAAACCCAACAATTGTTCTGGATGTGATTTTGGTTCCACTCTGACAATGAAGGGTTTGATTTGATCTGCAAGGAGCTGGCAGGTAAAACAGTCTTGGAGGCTTCCTCAAACCATCCACTGTACAAGTTGAAATATTGTAACTTTAAAGCCATAAACATGATTAAACTGTTTTATTACTCTCATTTACTTGGAAGATAAAAGTCTTTTCTGTAGTTTTCATGTTTCTTAAACAGTTTTCATTAATTATTATTGTCTATAAAGCTGTTATTGTACCTGCATGCCTGAAAACTTAAGGAGTGTTGAGCTGCATCCTGCTCAATGAATGAAAACACCCTCCTCTGCATGTCGGTGCATTCCTGATTAATACTGCATGATCCCGCCGCCGCCATCCTTTCTGAAAACTATGAACCAAGGTTTCATGGCGGATTTCTGACTGTCCAACAGTAGCAGACACTCCCACTCCACCGCCGCCTCCGCCCCCGGATGACCTGCCCATGTTTGACGACTCCCCTCCGCCGCCGCCACCTCCGGTGGATTACGAGGAGGAGGACGCCGCCGTCGTCCAGTACGACGACCCGTACGCGGATGGAGACCCGCAGTGGGCCCCCAAGAGCTACAAGGAGAAAGGTTTGCTTCAGAATTCCTCTGATAATCGTTACTGCAGCAGGTTGTATGAATACCAACTAGGATTCCTGATTAACGTTAGGAATCATCTACCCACGCATCAGTTCATTCATTCATCCAACATCCATTCATTCCATTTCAGTCTGGTGCTCCAAGCACACATCTTTGCATCCATCAGTTGATTTTGCAGAGTGTAAAACTATAACCATTGGAGACATTTTTTTTTCTTTAAAAGCTACAAGAAACAAGCTAAAAAAATTAGATTTTTAGTAAAATATTGTAAACCAACAGAAATAAGTCTCCTCTGACCGTTATGAACCAAGCGCCACATTAACAAACTCATTTAAGACCATGTCCCCTGTTTCTGGTTCGGTCCCTGCAGTGGTGGCCATCTACGACTACACCAAGGACAAAGACGACGAGCTGACGTTCATGGAGGGCGCCATCATCTACGTGGTGAAGAAGAACGACGACGGCTGGTACGAGGGCGTCTGCAACGGCGTCACCGGCCTGTTCCCCGGCAACTACGTGGAGAGCATCATGCACTACGCCGAGTGAAGCAACCTGGCAGTAACCAGTCCTATTTATTCAGTCATATCCTAACCCGGTGACCGACTGACCGTATGATCCTTTTTTTTTTTTTTTTTAAGAATGGCATAATGTTTTCTCTCTTACTGAATGCAAATAATAATTGATATCTATGTAGTCGGTGTGATAGGGATTGGTTTGTGGCATTTAGACATTTCTCCGGTTTATTAAAGCATTTAAAGAACAGCAGAGGACGTTGCCGTCAGTCCGAGTCGCGGTCTCATTATGGAGAAAAAACCACTGTAAATTACATTTTAAGGATTAAGTCTTAGAAAGCATGCAAATGCAAATCTGTAATTTGAAATTTTATGCCACTTTTCTTCAATTATGTTGTAAATTTCTTTTTTTTTTTTATTTCACTGTCGAAATCACTGAAGTTTTTACTCCAATTTAAAATCTTTTCCATGGGCTTTCTCTCTCTCTTTTTTTTTTGTACCTAATCCTAAAATAAAGAAATTGAGTTTTTGTTTTTTTATGAATTTGAATCTTTTCACAAAGCATTAAGATCTGATTATCCAGTTAAAGATAAAACAACAATCCAGCAGCTGATCGGTGTAAAATGTGTTTTGATCTTAAAATAACTTAGTAGTAAAACCACATTCAAGAAAAGATCAAAATCAGAATTTTTGTACAGTTTTATGCATTTTCTTTAGACTTTATCAATTTACTAAAGTCCTGAGTCAATTCAGTGTAGGCTGGGGTGAGGGAAAGGATTTCTGCACCATACTTGTTTAGATTTCCAGTGATAAACTAGGGTAGGAAAAACATTAAAAGCTGCTCAATTGTAGTTTTGCATCAGATGGGAATAATTTTCAGGGCCTTAATTGGAATATACAACATTAAAACGGGCAAAGACTAGTGCTGTTACTACCTTCATCTCCTTACTTTTCCTGCTGTGATAGGGTGGAACATTTGTGAGTTTTGAAACCTTGATACTGTTAACCAACCTCAATGACTAGTAGATCAATTCACCAAGTTTGCATTTTGATCATTTTTTACACCCACTTTTAGTCTTTTTCCTTCATTAACTTTTAAATGAACAGATGCGCTGATAAATGAACCGACTTTCCCTTAAACTGAAGTTATCCCAGGAATATTTTGTATTACAAACTAAAAGGTTTGAACCCTGCAGTATGTTTTCTATTGTTATAGTAATATGCTGTCTGTGACAGGATGAAGATCTGAAAGTAAAATGAGTTTAAAACAAGAATCCAAATGAAAGCAGAGTAAAATCTAAAGAACGGATCAGTTCTGGTAATATGTGGGGGTGTATGCTGGATTAATAAACTGGGGTCTCCTATGCCTGCGGTTCAAGCAGGTATAGGTGTTCATGGAGAGAGGTTTAATGGAGCGTCGGGCTGAGTCAAATTTAGCAGCTACACGCCTCCATCTCAAAGGCTCACAGCCTGACACTGCCGTGAGACAATTCAGACGTAATCCAGGCCGAACAACTAATACCTCCTCAGTTTCCTCGAAGCATCAATGTCTGCGCGGCCCCCCTGGCTGGGCCGGTCTTCATAGAACCAGGCGTCACTCAGGAATCAAACGGTTCAGGTTTCGCTGCAGCCTTTATTCGATCTTCCCTCTCATCTCTCCAACTTCCTGACCCAAAGTACTGAAACTTACCTCTTTCTGCTTATTTGTAGATATATATAATATGTTGACTCAGAAATGAATGTACAGTCTTTTATAATAAACAATTCTCCATACAGCAGCTTTTATGCATTTGTGGTTATTTGGGGGGGAAATAAGCAGAACAAGAGTTTCAAATAATAAAACTTGATCAGGTGGTTTATTGAGCACATGGTCGTGTCAGATGTTAAGGCCTTCTGCTGTTACAGGACACTTAGCAAAGTTCAGAGTGTAAAACAGAAAAGGTTTGGCCATTGAGTTTTGGACGGATCCATGGACGTCACATCCAGACAATAACGACGACTCCATCATGTTTTAGAAATATTTTTTTTCTCCAACATTCTCAGCAGCCCAGAGAGGATCCGATAAACCGGTCTGAGACGCGTGAGGCCGCTGGTTACAGTACAGGACGAACCTTTTCTTCAAGGTGATCTTATTCCTCTAAAAATCACCTTGAAATGGTAATTTTTTCCTCTTTCCACCCAAGATAAGACGACTTAACTTAATTTTTTTTTACACGCTGTGCAGCCAGCAGACATTTTAGTCTCATAAGGCAGCAGGGTAAGTTCGTTTCACATCGAGCTGCCAGAGGAGAGAGTCAGAAGGCGACTCTGAGGAGCTTCACTTGTTCCTGTTGAGGACGATCTCTGTGAGCCTGATGAGGGCGTCCCTCTCTGCAGACGGCTGGAGCCGGCTGATCTGTTTGATGGCCTCTTCGCAGTATCGCTGCGCCAGGTAGGTGGTCTGCTGCACGCCGTCGCTCTGAAACAGGAAATAATGGAGCCGTTCAAATAAAACCTGTTCCACTATTACTGATTTTTCTTAACTGTTAGAGAATGTGAAACTAACTTTAAATTGCTGAAAATGATCAGCATAAAGTGTGTATTCTCATTCACCCCCTGTACTCTGATGCCCGCAACTAAACTCAATTGAACTATTTACATAGAAAAAATATATTTACGTTTAAAGCCACAAGATTGTTCATCTAAACTGATGGATAAAACAAGCAGAGAATTAATTAGAAGCAGCTAAACAGCCTGTGGTATCGCTGGGGGAGCTGCAAGGAGCCACTGCTCAGGTGGAAAGAAGATGGCAGAAGAGTCCTGTTTGAAAACCCGCCAAGTTTCCCTTAACGTCCACAGTGAAACACAGCAACAGTGGTATGATGCTGTGCTTCAGGGAAGATTAATCTGCTGAGAGCTGAATATAGGACAGAGGTGCACTGCAAAAACGATCTAGGAATAAGTCAACATTTCTTAAATTTAATTTAACCTTAATTTGAATAGGTAAATAACATGATCTGCCAATGGGATGAGTATTTTTACCATTAAATTATATAATATGCAATTAAAATAAGGCAATGCAATTGTTCTTATTTTTTTAATGTAACTTGTCTTGTTCCATTGACAAAGAGTCTCACCTAAATTCAATTAAGAATGCACTCATTTTAAGTAAAAATGACTTATTTAGATTAACAATTTTTTTGCAGTGTGGAGAAGAGACTAAAATTGTCACCTACCATTAGGACAAGTTCAAACCCTGGAGCTACAGAGGGTTGGTTTAGAATTAGGATTGAAGGATATTTTATTTAAAAGTTTAAATAAAATAGAGACTTAAAACCTAATTTCAGATGATTTCCATCCAGTCTGACTGGATATTAGTCATTTCTGCCTGTTCTTCTATGCAAAATGTTGACCTGCAGCTGTAACTAATTATTTGACCACACTGTTTGAGCCGGTCTCATTAAAGGAAGCTGAACTTCATCTCTACTCCGTTTGCTCCCTTCAAAGAAAAACAAAAAAAAAAGGAAAACAGCAGCTGTGGTTTTGGTCATACCTGAAGGACGTACTGCCAGGCCCGATCCACGTCTCCCTTGGAGCTGAAACGTCTCATGATCATGGCGTGAAGCTCCGGGAACTGGAAACACAGATTAAACAGTTTCTGTTCAGGATCACCGACTGTATGCTTTTCAATGGAAACGGCTTCATCCAGCGTTGTTGGCTCACCTGCTGACAAGCGAAAAGAACCGGCCCGGTGGCCAGGCCCAGTTTCAGATCGGCGGCCGCAGGTTTCCCCAGCTGCTCGGCTCCTGAGGTGAAATCTAAAACATCATCCACCAGCTGCAAGAAAAATAAAATGTATATACTTAATATTTATTCGTTAAAACTTTCTGATCTAAAGTGAAAGAAGCAGATCAGTTCTGGAGGACCTGAAAGGCAATGCCGACGTTCTTCCCGTACTGGTAAGCTATTTCATGGACCTCAGGGTCAGAGTTCACCAGGATGGAAACCTTCAGATGAACAGAGAGGGATGGCAGTCATTGAAAAACACACGGAGCAGAAAACGTCTCCGCCTCATTGATGCTAAGACAGAACGTACATACTGCTTTACAGCTGTGTGCCATCAGACTCGCCGTCTTCTTGTAGGTTTTCTCAAGGTAGTGTTTGAAACGCTCGTTCTCGTTCTCTTTGGATCCCAGCTGCATAAACTCGCCTGGAAGATGAAAAAAAACGGAAATGGATCAAATCAAAAGATGGAGCTGAGAACAAAGAGGTGCTGTTGATGCTGAACCACACCTCGCACTAGGTCCTCTATGACCTGGGAGAGGACCTTAACCACGGCGCAGTTCCCAATACGAGCCAAGGCCTTGGTGGCAGCCGAGAGGATGAAGTCTCCAGCTAAGATAGCCTGAAAGGGACAAAAAATAAAATAAAAAAAAACCATTTACTGGTGGATATACAAAGAGGGGTGTAAAGAAGGAAAGAGGGATATCTCAATCCTATTTCTTGAACCCTGCGTTGGTTAAAGCACATCCAGCCGGCAGTAGAAGCCACACCTTTTTCTCTCCCCACACTTCATTGATGGACCTCTTCCCCCTTCGCTCATCCGACCCGTCGATCACGTCGTCGTGCACCAAGCTGGCAGTGTGAATCATTTCAGAAATCATTGCTATCGTCCTTTGCCCCGGGAGCAGATCTCTGCAACAAACAATCACACATGGATTTATAACAAGGGAATGCATGACCTGACTCTCCCCACTAACTGGCTGCACGTTTCTGTAATCACATCTTATTTTTTATTATCTCTCAAGGAGAAAAAAAAGAAAAGAAAACCTGCTTTCAGCTGTCTGAAGATAAAGAGAAAGAAGGATAGTGCTGCTCCAGTCTAAACAAGCAGAGTTGTGTTGATCCTCTTACCCAGCTCTGTTGCTGTGGATGTTCATGGCCCGGGCCATCAGGACCACTATGATCGGTCGGATAGCTTTGCCCCGCCCATCAAAATAATAATCACAGAGGTAATTTAGCTCCGTTTTGGCCACAAACAGCTCCTATAAGACATAACAAACGTCATGGCTTCATCACAGAGACAATAATACGCAGTGCATATTCGCAACAAAACCTAAATTGCTCAATCGTTTTCTATTTGACACCGTTTACAGGCTGATTATTTTATTTGATCGTTTTTAAAGCAAACCAGCAAGAAGAACATTTTCTGTTCCAGCATAAAAAATTGAAAAATATAGTTAAATTAATGTGGAACGGTGTGGTTTGATCAGATTAGAATAAATCTAAGATGAAAATGAAGTCTGGGCAGACAGCTGCATTAAACACCACATGCTGTGGGGTATGGTGGAGGATGTGTGAAACTGTGGGCCTGATTCCCTTCCTAAGGTCCTGGGAACTGAGTGAGGATATCTTCTCTGAATTATAAAGATCTTTCAAAGGTTTCATTTTATTTATTCAGTGTGAGATTATTAAACTGCAATAAAGATGATTTTAAATCTAACTTTTAATGTTTTAAACAGATAAATGAAGACCGGGGGTTATTTTGAATATGTGAAGCTCACCTTTTTGATGTCATCATATAAACTTGTAAGGTCTTTCTGGGCTAATGTAAAAGGGTCCCTCAGCTTTGCGTCGCTGTGCGTCGTCCTGCAGCTGCAGGACTGTAGTGTTGGATACAGCAAACTAGAGCGGTGTCTCCAAAGAGAAGAAAGCACAGACTTTACAACCTTAAACACGATAGAATAACACCAGAACCAACAGAAACAACACATTGCGACAATATAGGGCGGCTCACCTGATTCCAGATGGAATAAGGTGAGAAGCTTTGGAGTGGATCTGTGCAGGAAACAGTGGCTTTTTCTGAAAGACATTATGGAGACAGACTCAAATAACAATCCAGCTAAACTGACAGATATCAGAAATCAATTAAGACTTCTTGTGAATAAAGTTTTTTTTTTTTTTACTTGAGATTAATCATCAACTGTTACTTTAATCAAAATCCCAAAATGTAACCCCCCCATTAATTTACAATAAGAAGTTGGACGGACATTGTGTGTTTTTGTTAGATAAAAGTAGATTTTGTAAAGATGCTCTTAAACATCTACATATCTATTCATTTTAATCAACCTGTAATACAATTTATTCTGGTTAAGATCGTCCGCTGATCTAGTTAAACTTTAAATATGACAAATTCTAACATCAGATGAAGCTGAAACACCAACCAGAAACCTTTTGCTGATTGATATTATTCATAAGAGTTATGAATCCATGTTTTCTTACTATATTTCTATGTGTAGACTATGAAAAATGTAAAAACTGACACATGATCAGAACTAGGGCTGCAACCAACGATTGTTTGGCCAACTGATTAATCTGTTGGTTATTAGTAATCAGAGAGCAAAAAGCACCTTAAAGATAATTAGTCAGAATTATAACCAGGTGAATCAAATTATTCCACTTGATAAGTTCTAGAGAGAGTATTTCTGATACTTTTTATTCTGGTGTAATTACAGCTCTGAGTGGGTGTCTCTATACTCCTGTTAAGGATTAATTGATTACTAAATGAGTTGATCATTTCAATAGCTGATTAATCTGATGAATTCCCAATTAGAACGATATCTCCTGTGCGAAATCTGGGCTGTATTTCATGTCCAACAGGCTGGGTATGAAAGAGAACCAAGACCACACACATAAAATGGC